ACTCCACGGAATGCCAGCGTGAAACAGCAGTTTAATGGTGCTGTGTTACGTGTGTTGAGCGCAGAGAACCAAAGACCATTTTTTTTTCTTCTGAAAACGAGGCATTCCATCTTAGCACTTAGTGACAACGCGTCTGCATTCTGATTTTTAATCGAGAATAGGTGTAGATGATGATAAGAAGTGTCTATGGGCTATTAAATCCAATTTCCATCGGACTGTGCAATCGTATGTCGTTTGTCACGTTTATTCTATAAAACGGCTGCATAAGTAAACAGTATTCAACAAAATATGTATTCCTGTTCATTTCACGGAGTTCTATGGTAACTTCTTTACAATGCAGACTACACACCATTGGAAATCCAGATAACATCAAAAAGCTCCCAATAAGTTTCCCTTTTCAAAGTTGCTGCATAATCATCTATTAAAGACCACGTTTCTTATATGAGTAACAGACCAATATATTCACAATTATTTATTTGTACAATTTATGTATGTATATTGATTGCATATTTGTATGCACATTTATGTATAAATAGAAGATATTTGTATAGTTTTTGTGTTATTAATGCATTATGCATTAATGCAAAATTTATATAGGACGTAGTTAATTATCGACTTTGTTTTATATTGCAATACTTACTTCAAATTCTCACCACTCTATGGATTAACTGATATAGAATACCTCAAGGAATTAATTTGAATTATTGTATAGTTTAGAAACCAAATAAAGAATTAATTAATAAATATTCGCGTAAGACACTTAATATTTACCCTTACATTATCTTAACCTCATAATCGAGCAATAGTTTAACTAATGACATCATATTGTATTAATAAAGAAAGGCCTTTATTCATTGAAACTGTACACAACACAAAAATAAAATAATAAACAGTTAAAAGTTAGTAGATTAATATTACTAGTGATGGTATCGAGCCAGTGAAAAAGTAAGCGTAATGCTGCAGGGTAACCTACAGCGCTGATGATTCTGTCATAACCCCTGTTAATTAGTGATAATCGTTAATATTGTTACGCGCTCAAATCGACAATACACTAGCACCATCTAGTGTCAGGAACGAGAGCGAGGGGAGCATTGAGAAAATTAATGACATCACAAATCACTCAACCGACAGCGCCTAGTCGAAACTCGAACGCTCGGTACCTTGCGCGTGTTTACTTGAACATTCTGGATATTTCTTTGCTAATTTAAATATATAGGCGCTGCAAGATGCGATCGAGGCAGAGTTGAACTCGGCGACACAAGCGAAGCTTCGGAGCGGAATTAAGTGAATTAGTGTGTTTAATTATTAGTGTTTTAAGTTTTAATTTGTGTACAGTAAATTAAAGTGTAATTTAGGTAATTTTATCGGCAATTTTTATTGTCACGAACCTTAAGCTCGTAACAATATATACGTATCGTTTTATTCAATGAGTATTAGAATAGAATAGAATATAATATAGATTCTAAATAATTCAAATTGAAAGTAATATTCTACTTTCTCCCTTGTTTTTTGCACGTGGTAGAGTCACGCTGCAGCTATACTATGGTTGTAGCTTGAATGGGTCGGCTAGACCGAGGAATGACTACGCTCTCACAGAATACCAGTGTAAAATAGCAGTTTAATGCTGCTGTGTTTCGTATGATGAGATCGTAGAGAACCGGAGACCCATTTTACTGCAATCGAGGCATTCCACGTTAGTCCTCAAGGGTGATAACGCATCTGCATTTTGATTCTTAATCAGGGTTAAATGTAAATGTCTATGGGTCACAGCATCCACTTACCATCAGGATGCTGTGTGCTCTTTGTCACCCTTATCCTATTGACAAAAACCTCGGTCCTAGGAAGAATCACCAATAAACTAAGAAGGCATTAAGTATTCACGTAAATTTAAATAATCATTTTTTAATTACTTTACAGTCACAAGCCGTTCAAGTGATAGACACCTACAGACATGGACGCCTACAACGAACTCCATACAAAGTAAGCTATAGATGCGGTTTTACGCCTGTGGACTAAGATGAAATGCACAGATATGCAGCAGATATGGTAGAGATGGCTTTAACTTAAATGTTCTAAAGAAAATAAACGCAAAGTATACAACATCAATACTGTCTGGGGCTATATCACCGTTATTGGATACCTTGTACTATTAAATATAATGTGGCATAGCTTCAAACTATCTACCTATATAAGAAACGCACGTCAAGAAATAATATCAAACATATGTACCACCACTACCTAGCAATTCTTTTTCTGTAATCTAAATGCATAAAAAACTGACTGCCGAATACGGTGAAATAAAACTATCTATAATATACAATGTAAATTCAAAAATAACTCTCACTCTCATTTATAACGATAAAGCAGCAACGAATAGAATTGTGCAGATAACAGACTAGAACACAATACAAAAATGTGACTTATCCATCCCACAGTTTTCTAAACGTTTAGTCACAACCTTCACCGTCAAAAAGTATTACAAACAAATGAAAAGTAAAAAAATTGAGAATGAAGTCACCGTTATATATTTAAATCCTATACCTTTAAACGAGCAATTCTTATATATACATATATATATATATATATATATATATATATATATATATATATATATATATATATATATATATATATATATATATTTATATATATTTATATATATATAATCTGAATCTCGGAAATGGCTCCAACGATTTTCATAAAATTTTGTGTGCAGGGAGTTTCGGGGGCAATAAATCGATCTAGATAGGATTTATTTTTAGAAAATGTCTTTTTTTCCGTGTTTTTAGGCAATAAAAAACTGCTACAATATCGTTAGAATAAGAAGGTAAATTTTGACAGTTTATTAATGATAACAAATAGCTTAATAGGTATATTGGGGGGGTCACAAAATTGTAATACCATGGTTCGAGCCCAGCCCGACCGACCGACTTTTTTAATTTTTTTTTTCAAGTTCCTTTCCTTTTTGAGAAAATCTATTTCTTCGAGCTCTTTTTTAGTATTTTTTAAAAACACGAAAATTTAAATTAAACTAATTGCACTCATGATATTTTAAATATCAAAAAATATTCGTAATTCATCAGTATTTAATTTGTATCTAAGTATAATTTCCAAAATACACGAATTAAAAAAAAACGAGCGAAAAATACCGAGCAAAGCTCGGTCAACCGGGTACTTATTAAAAATTCTCTACACGACTCTCAAATAACCATATTTTAAATTTTAATTCTACGCGGCAACGGACGGAATTTAAATATTATTGAAAAAACAAATTTATTTATTAAAAGTGCTTCTCAGAATACGATTATTTGAGAAATGACGTGTTGTGGGGGCGTAAAAATATCTTCTACCCCATTTCATCTCCTGGGTATCGGAAGAGGCAACTGTAGGAAATGCTTGAAAAATCTCACTGGTTTCGGCAGATGCCGGTATAACCAGTTATAATATACCGCGACTGCCAATAGGCCGCAATGAAAAAAAAGTTGCGACACATCTGGTATTGTGACAGCAATCTTCCTTCCAAGCGCTGCAAACAAGGCATATTCTCCAAGGAACAGGAGAGTTTCATGTGCATCAGTAGACTTTACGATCTAAAGATGAAGACTAAGAACTTGTTATAATTTGTGGTTTGAATAAGATTGGTTAAGTTGTGACGTGTTGTGGTGGCGTAAAAATATCTTCCATTCTATTTCATACCCATCGTGTCGTAAGAGGCAACTATAGGAAATTCTAATAATATCTCACAGGTTCCGGTAGGCGCGGGTATAACCAGTCGTAAAATACCGCAATTGGCAACGGGCCGCAACGTCAAAAAATACTATCCCAAGTTTTATTCAAAAGAAAATCTATTTCTTCGAGCTCTTTTTTAGTATTTTTTAAAAACACGAAAATTTAAATTAAACTAATTGCACTCATGATATTTTAAATATCAAAAAATATTCGTAATTCATCAGTATTTAATTTGTATCTAAGTATAATTTCCAAAATACACGAATTAAAAAAAAAAACGAGCGAAAAATACCGAGCAAAGCTCGGTCAACCGGGTACTTATTAAAAATTCTCTACACGACTCTCAAATAACCATATTTTAAATTTTAATTCTACGCGGCAACGGACGGAATTTAAATATTATTGAAAAAACAAATTTATTTATTAAAAGTGCTTCTCAGAATACGATTATTTGAGAAATGACGTGTTGTGGGGGCGTAAAAATATCTTCTACCCCATTTCATCTCCTGGGTATCGGAAGAGGCAACTGTAGGAAATGCTTGAAAAATCTCACTGGTTTCGGCAGATGCCGGTATAACCAGTTATAATATACCGCGACTGCCAATAGGCCGCAATGAAAAAAGTTGCGACACATCTGGTATTGTGACAGCAATCTTCCTTCCAAGCGCTGCAAACAAGGCATATTCTCCAAGGAACAGGAGAGTTTCATGTGCATCAGTAGACTTTACGATCTAAAGATGAAGACTAAGAACTTGTTATAATTTGTGGTTTGAATAAGATTGGTTAAGTTGTGACGTGTTGTGGTGGCGTAAAAATATCTTCCATTCTATTTCATACCCATCGTGTCGTAAGAGGCAACTATAGGAAATTCTAATAATATCTCACAGGTTCCGGTAGGCGCGGGTATAACCAGTCGTAAAATACCGCAATTGGCAACGGGCCGCAACGTCAAAAAATACTATCCCAAGTTTTATTCACGTTGGTAAAAAATGACCTAGCCTGTGGCTAACATGCATAATGCTATACCTACGCGTAAACTCATAGGACAGATAGCGTAATGATGTATATTTATATATATAGACGTTACGCCTATACTTAAGAAAATATTGGTGTTAGAAAGTTCTGTTCAACGCATCCAAAGCGACTATATTACGAAAAAAGATCTTAATAACCAATTAACCGAATACTGTAAAAGTTCTTGCGTGCATACGAGCCAAAATAATGTAAATATGAAGAGAGGCTGTGGTGTTATTTATTTTGATAGTGGTCCCATGGCAATTTCAACTTACTTTGACGAATGCGTGTCTCACTCGCGTAAGGAGGGTAATTTATCTTACCACTCAAACAACCGCTCGCCCGTGAGTGTAGCGAGTGTGAGCGAGAAATTGCAAACAGCGCCTACGCAGGCATCTGAGCGCGTGAATGAATCAAAAATCGATCATGAGATGGTACGTGCAGGCTCTGAGGAAGAGCAACAGGGCCGAGTTGCGATGACTAGATCGCCTGAGCATCAGTGTAGCCCGGTGTATTACGGTAATAATATTATCAATCAGGCTGAAACTGATATTAAAAATGGAAAAATTGCGTCTTTCTCGGATATAGTAAGAAAAGATGGCGAATGGAAAGAGCCTTAAAAAATGAGGGGTGGGTTTTGTACCAAAAACGTAGGCTTAGAAACCGCTTTACTAGTCAAATAGGCTGTGCCATTGAGTCTGAGTTAACTAGCCAAAAGTTTAGGGCAGCGGATATAAAGGTGCCTCTGTTTATCTCGAATGTTGCCAAGGAGGTATCAGGCCAGGATATTATTGATTATGTGTATAACAAAACGCGTGAAAAGGCTTCACTGGTGAAAATCAATATGAGACGGCAGAAAGGCTATGATGCCTATAAGGTCTTGGTATCTAAGCATAAAATTGAGACATTCCTAGATGATAAACTGTGGCCATCAGGCATAACGTTTTGTCGTTTTGTGATTTTTTACGATACACAAAAAGGTAAAATCAATAATAAGTAACAAAATAAACAGGACAGTTGAACATACTGAATAATAAATACGTACTACATATACTACATACATTTTGAAAGAAATAAATAATTTAGATAATAAATTAATATATTGAATATACTATATATATTTCAATAAAATACCAAAGAAATAAATTATTAATTAATATAGATAAAAAATAATTCATATATGGATAATCTTAGTAAAATTATAAGTTTCAACTGTAAATCGATCAAGAGGTCAGCGGAAGGTGAAGAGAGTTGTGCCGGTCAGCCGGCGTGTTGTGTCTCCAGGAAACGTGATTTCTGCCACATGATTTATCATTTCTCAGCACGTTCAGTGAAGACACATCTGCGGTGGACACGGAGGGAGGCCTAGTAAGTGGGAGGCCTTATGGTGGGTGGAGTTGCAATATTGTGGCGTAAAAATGTGTTTGAATCAGTGTCAGTGATAGAGTGTGAAAACGTGCGAATCTGTGCCATAAAAGTAACTGTAAGTAGTAGATCTGTAGTTATATTTAGTGTATAAAAATTCACAAATTCTTACGAAAACTTACATGAGTTCTGTGCGTGTCTCGGTTCGATCCGATCGATAATAGAAATAGAGGAAATTAAGGGAATTGAAGCTTTTTATATACTAGGGGACTTCAATGCTCATCCTAGGGAATTATTTTATAATGAAATGATAGATTTTTGTAACGAAGAGAGCTGGATTTGTGTGGACGCAAGTATGTGTGATAAAAATACATTTACTTTTCATAGTGAGGCTCGGTGGTTGTAACAGGTGGCTGGACCACTGCTTAGTCACTCATTCTGCGCGTGAAACAGTAGTAAGCCCCCTTGTGGTGGAATGTAATTTAAATAAACTTAAGCCTAAGGTTGTGGAGCAGATAATGGGGAAACCTGTGAACCGTGTTACTTGGGGCAACAGGACTCCACAACAGATAAAACTGTATCACGATTTTTGTCACACAAACTTGAGAATTATAGATCTTCCAGAGGAACTCAGAGACTGTTGTGATAAATTTTGTAGTAACAAGGAACATCACGCTGTACTTTATAATATGTACGGTAATATTATAAATGTACTATCACTGGCAGCAATTGGTACATATGGGGATAAATGTAGAAAAAAGCGAGGTTACGTGACGGGGTGGAATAAGCAAGTCGCGGCCCACATCGGGAGGCGCGGCTTAAATTTCAAAAGTGGATGATGCCTGGGCAGCCGTCCAGGGGTCGCGTATTTGAAGAGATGTCAGAATCTAGAAAGCATTTTAAAGCCAAATTAAAATGGTCTCAAAACGGACAAGAACAGATAAAGATGGATATTATTACGACAAATTACTCTTCTAAAGACTTTAAAAGCTTCTGGAAGAACACAAACAAAATGAATGTTAAGCCGAGTCTTCCAGTGAGTGTTGGGGGTGCTTATGATCACAAGGATATTGCGGATGCATTCGGATACAATTTTACTGTAAGGTCACCCTTAAATGTTGTTTCAGGTTTGAATTTGAGCGAAACTGAGACTATCATGACAGAACGAAATGGAAAGATACCTGCAAAAAAAATATAAAAAATAATTAAAGAGATGGTAAGAGGAAAATCGCCTGGTTATGATGGTCTCAGCATCGAACACTTCACGCTGGGGTGCATCTTCCGCGAGTCCTTTCACTGTTTTACAGCCTGTGTTTGGGTCACTCTTACTTACCCGAGCCGCTGATGAGGACTATTGTAGTACCCGTTGTTAAAAAAATAAAACTGGGGACACATCTGACATGGGTAATTACCGACCTACCTCGCTTGCAACCACTGCAGCTAAGGTGTTTGTTAGTGTGTTAAATGAGTGTCTCAACAAATACGTACTAATAAACAATGCACAATTTGGGTTTAAACCAAATGTATCGACGGAGAGCGCCATTTACTGTCTGAAACACACTGTCAAATACTACACCGTCAGGCGGACGCCAGTGTACGCGTGTTTCCTCGACTTATCGAAGGCTTTTGACCTGGTCTCATACGACATGCTGTAGGGCAAGTTGAGAGACGCGGGTGTGCCGGCGGAGTACACGGCTCTACTAAGATACTGGTATGCTAACCAGCGTAACCAGGTGAGGTGGGTTGGAGCTCTGCCGGAAGAATACAGGCTGGAATGCGGTGTAAGGCAGGGTGGCTTAAGCTCTCCACTCTTGTTCAACCTGTATGTAAACCAACTGATTGAACGACTTAGCAGCACACATGTTGGCTACCACATCGATGACATATGTTTCAACAACATAAGCTATGCTGACGACACGGTGCTGCTCAGTCCTTCTATAGCAGGACTGAGGAAACTGCTTTCTATCTGCGAGACATATGCGAAGGAGCATGGCTTAAAATATAACTCAAAAAACCAATCAGGTAAATCATCAAAAAGGCACCGAAACGGAAGCCACGACATGTGCCACCCGTATGTCTCAATGGTGTACCTCTGAAAGTCGTACAGAAGTTTAAATATCTCGGTCATATAGTTACGAGTGACCTAGGAGATGATGAGGATATAGAACGAGAGCGCAGAGCGTTGTCGGTAGGGGGCAATATGCTTGCCCGCAGATTCTCCCGGTACACTGCAGACGTGAAAGTAACTTTATTTAAAGCGTTCTGTCAGTCTTTCTATACCGGTGGTCTGTGGGTGACTTATACGCGCCGGACCTACAGCGCCCTGCGTGTTCAATATAACAACGCCTTTAGGATGCTGTTGAGGCTGCCGTGGCGCTGTAGTGCCTCTAAAATGTTCACAGACGCACTCACAAATGACTTTTTCGCCATAATGTGTAGAAAACCAGCGTCTCTCCTGCAGCGCTTACGTACCAGCAACAACGGCATCCTAAGGGTAATTGCTGCCAGGCCCGACTGCCCCATACTTCACCACTGTATGACGGTAGCTATTGGGCGAAAAAAATAATTTGTACATAATTCACATTAACTAACAATACCAACTTAGAATTTAAGGAAAATTGTTACTAACATACTAACAATCTATGGATGTTCCTTACGTCTGAAATAAACACTTATTATTATTATGTGGGGTATCTATATAGTTTTCTCATCTGGTTGGGTTCTATAAGTATATAATTATAAATTAAAATGAAAAGATAAATATACATAAATATAATTAAAATAAAATAAATACAAAAATACATAAATAAATAAACGCCTAACCAGATGGAAGCCTTCGGTAGGGGAGACCAAACGGCCGAGGGTTAGGAGGAATAAATATATAATTATAAATTAAAATGAAAAGATAAATATACATAAATATAATTAAAATAAAATAAATACAAAAATACATAAATAAATAAACGCTCAACCAGATGGAAGCCTTCGGTAGGGGAGACCAAACGGCCGAGGGTTAGGAGGAAAGGGAAAGAAACCGGCGGACGATGCGGGCGGAATCGAGGAGTACCGCCTTCTGTATTTGTGCCCGGAGCGGTCCGTCATGGAGTCCCATTTGCCTCAGATGACCCGAAAGGCTAACTGAGATGAGCCCATTCGCAGAGACGACTACAGGAATAATTTTGGCCGGCATACCACCCCACATGTCGGTCACCTCGTGAGCCAGGTCCAGATATTTTGTTTGTTTATCTGTTTCGGCTTTCACCAGGTTCTCGTCATACGGAATGGTAATGTCGACCAAAAATATCCTTGACTGTGCCCAGTCCATCAGCACAATATCAGGCTTGTTCGCAAGAATAGTCCTGTCCGTGATGATGGCCCGGTCTCAGTAGAGCCTGGGGCGGTCATTTTCGAAAACGGTTTCCGGCAAGTACTTGTAATACGGATATTTCCGGTCCACGAGACCGTATTTCAGAGCGAGCTCCTGGTGTAGAATTCTGGCTACTAGGTTGTGCCTATGCAAGTACTCAGAGTTAGAAAGCGCCGAGCAACCGGAGATGACATGCCTAAGTGACTCCCCAGGATGGCGACAAGCTCGACAGACGTCGACAGTGCCATCCTTTAGGATCTATCTCCGATAATTGTTGGTCTTAATAATCTGATCCTGTATTGCACAGACAAAACCCTCGGTTTCCCCGAAGAGGTCACCGAAACGTAGCAAGTTGAGGGAGGCGGCTGTATCTACGTGGGGCTCATGTAGAGCCCTGTAGTACCTCCTTTGGAGCTCCTTCTCCTTCCATACGGTCTCCCGGTCAGAAATGCTCTGCACTGCCGGGTCCTGCCATTGCTCGTTGGCTAAGGATAGAGGGGTAAGTCCTTTTTCACTACGTCATTATAGAATGGATCATCCGATCTCGCCAGGAAGTAATGACGGAGGCTGCACACTTCGCGATTATGCATGGTGAGCGCGCTCAAGAAGCCACGCCCACCATGCTTTCGTGGTAAGTACAGCCTCATAACCGACGACCTCGGATGATGCATCCTATGAGACGTCATTGTAGTGCGGACTTTTTTATCCAGGGCATTTAGTTCAGTCTGACTCCACCTGTGTATGCCAAAGCTATACACGAGGACAAGCATAACCCAGCCATTATATGCGTGTATCTTATTCACACCTGACAAAAGGCTGTTAAGCACTTTGGTCAAGCGTGCATAAAACATATCGCAAAGTGACTGTTTCATACCAGCCTCATCGATA